CAGAAGATGAGGTACACGTGGAATGTAGTATCGGAAACAATGAGAGTAATGCCGCCAATAATGGGTGCTTTTAGAGAAGCATTGACAGATATTAGATATCAAGGTTATCACATTCCAAAGGGATGGAAGGTAATTAATACTACTAATTAGCTTGTTTGCTTGAATGAATTGTTGCAACAATATATATATATGTAATATTTAAAATGAATTTCAGTTGTACTGGAGCTCGTCGTTTACGCATAGAGAAGGTGGAACTTTTGAAGACAGCATGAAGTTTGATCCGTCAAGATTTGAAGGAGGGGGGCCAGCTGCGTATACGTACGTGCCGTTCGGAGGGGGGGCTCGTATGTGTCTGGGGAAGGAGTTTGCCAGGGTGGAAATACTAATATTTATTCACAATATAATAAAGAGATTCAGGTGGAAGTTAAAGATAGTTGATCCCCAAATAGCATATGATCCAACTCCTATACCACTTGATGGACTTCCCATTCTCCTTCTACCTCATCATCATCATCATCATACTTAAACCACTTGTAACACTACGTACTATCTTTCTTTCTTTTTTTCTTATTACTTATTATTAATTAATATAATAATAATTGCCTGCTCCTTCTTCCTTTTTCATATTATGAATTTAATCAAATCACCTTTCTCCCTTTTATTTCAACCATTTCCATAATTAAATTAAAATTAAAATAAATACACAATCACGACTAGGCCGCCAGCCGAACACGAACACTTCAACTCCGAGTATATAATGGGCTCAATTAGGAGTTTTTTCTTTTTTTTTTTTTTCAGGAAGGAAGCAGTTGTAGAATCTACAGCACATCACCACTACATATATTTCCATATTTACTTTTTTCCTTTTTTTTTTAATAAAAATAAAATAAAAGAAGTGTACTATAAAAGAGGATGTGAAATCACGAACGAGTATGTGAAGAAATTAAGAAGCATTTATCTTTAGGGGATGCTGTGATTAATTATCCCAACAAATAGGGCGAATTACGAAACTCCCATCCCCCTCTAACCAGTGTTTGACCGTTTAAATTCACATAAAACGTGTTATGTCCGTTTTGCCCTTCTGTTATTTGAAAAACAATAAAGAGTACGAATTATGAAACTCCCCCTGATATAAGATCTAATTATGAAAATTTCCTCATATTTGCGTAATTACGAAAATTCCTCCAAGGCATATTGTCGTCTTACGTACACCGCCCCCTTACAGAGCTACTTTTGACAAAAAAAAATAATATATTGACAATTACCCTAATCTCTCTCGGAAGAAAGAAGTAAAAGAGATGACTTCTCTAACCGCATTGTGTTGCAATTTTACTTTTTCTCGTAATTTGCCCTTATAATTATATAATTAACTTGAGTAACAATGTCGTCTATATAAAAAGAAATATATAATTTGGCCGGGCAAGAAACAGGTATTATTATTATTATTATTATTATTATTATTATTATTATTATTATTATTATTATTATTATTATTATTATTATTATTATTATTATTATTATTATTATTATTATTATTATTATTATTATTATTATTATTATTAGCGTGGTCACATCACATGCATGCATATATATATGGTAACTTTTCTTCTATAACGTGAGAATTGCATTCTTTTCTGTCTAAGAATTGATATTATTACCATTAGATCGATCGATTTGTTGGCAAATATAAGTGTCGTGAAATACCAAAAGAAAAATAAACGTATATAAGGTATATATATATATATATATATATATATATATATATATATATATACTATGTTGTTCCTGTGCAGACAATTAAGGAGCGAGTATCCAAACAGAACACGTACGGTCAGTATTTTCTGTCAAGAGATGATACTACTAATCTCTCTCTCTCTCTCTCTCTCTGTGTGTGTGATAATTAATTAAGTTATAATTATATATCTTGTGACTGATTCTTCATATTAATTAACATCCAAGACCATGATCTTATTTAACAGATGGATAGCAGCATGGAAGATTCTAGAGCGGCACCAACAACAATCGACCTGCAGCTGCTCGTGATTGGTAAGTTAATTAGAAAATTAAATAATTATGCATATGAAACAAATCTTGCTAGCTCCGATCCTTCCGTTAATTAATATTTTAATTAATTTGTATATTAATAACTTAAATAATATTTTGTTACGTTGGTTGGTTGGTGTATGTGTGTGTGCAGATTCAAATGCAAAAAGGGAGAAGATGAGAATATTATGGTTTGTGTTGTCCATGTATGTTTGGTCACTTTATTCGTCAATACTTATTGTTTGGACGTCTGCAAGTTCAATGAAGATATTCGGGAAAGGAGAAGGCTTTTACATTTTGTTGGGACTTACTGTGGTGGCAAGTGTTATGTCCGTTTATATTTGTATTGCGGCAATTGGAACTATTTTTTATATCCGTTTACTTCATACCCGACGTTTTGATATCCTGCGCACATGGAGTCTCAGTAAACCATTGACCATATTATTCGGCCCCGTTGATTTCGACGCTATCCTCCTCCAACTTAGACGACCTGATGATCATCATCATGCATCAGGTAATTAATTAATTATATATGATCTGATGGATGCTAATTAACAAATCAATTATATTAATTATTCATCGTAATAGTGACAGAAGAAAGCTTACATAGTAGTAGCATGGGGGATTCTCATGGAGTGCAGGCAGCCGTGAATATTGGTGAGTTCTTAATATACTTGCAATTAATTCTTCTCGGAAATTAATTATAATGTATATATGGATGCATGCATGCAGATTCAAATACAAAAAAGGAGTTGATGAATGAGTATAGGTCTAAGTTGGAAACTGGGATTGGGTTAACATTATTTTTAATGTTTCCTGCTGGTATGATGGGTTATGTAGTATTTGGGGGACAAAAACAAGTACTTCCTGTGTTTCTGGCTGCCACGGTGACGGTTGGGGTGAATTTCATTGTGGTGATGGGAAAAGCTTGTCTGTTACTTCTATTCTATTTTGGATGTGAAGATTGTGTGCGCGCATTGAGTCAGAACGCATTCGTCATCTTATTATTCGACACTATCAACGCCAACAACATTTTCCAGCGTATACAAGATCATCATCAACCATCACCATTAGTTACACTTCCAGTCTAGCTAGCTAGCTAGCTACTTATTACGTTTTCATTTCATGTAATAAAACAAAGAAACAAAGGGATTTTAGTACAATGGCTATTGAATCGGGTATGTGCTCAACTCATTTATATTCTTCATTCTCATTCTTTTTCTTTTCCTTCTATTTTATGGTAAGAGGTTTTGTTTTGGTTTTTTTTTTCTTCTTACATAAACCGTAAATCTAGGAATAAATTATCTGTGATTGAAAATTTATTTGTTATACTTTTTGCTATTGAATTTTTGAATATACAAAACATTGTTGAGATTAGCACCATGTCAAGTCATGGAAACCTTTGGAATGATTTTATTTCTTAGACTTCGATTTGAAAATGAATATATATGAACACCTTTTAAGGTTGTGTTTGGTATTGCAAATCAAGAAAGTTTGTTTTTTCTCCTCGTTCGACCTCAAATCCAAACAAGCCATCGATGTTTCAACGAAATTTTTCATTTTTTTTTTCCGAAAATGCTGATCCGAATTGTTCAACCATAGTTTCCTAATGAATAAATAGTGAAATGCAATATTGATTTAAAATATATATGTGCATTTTTATTAAATTCAAAATCAAAATTGAAAATGACATATATTTACTGAAATAACATAGATATGGCAGCAAAGTTCTCACATCTCTCCATTCTCATTATCCCATCACTCAGATGATCTTCACCATTTTCATCATAAAAAAAGGGCAAATTACGGCCACTCCCCTGATGTATGGTCAAATTACGAAAAAACCCCTTTTCGTAAGATAAATACATAGTTGAGGGGGTGGCTGTAATTACCCAAACAGGAGGGGGGTTTTCGTAATTTGACCATAGCTCAGGGGGGTGGCCGTAATTTGCCCTAAAAAAATCCAAAACCAATCCCACCAGGCACCTATGGCTGGCCCATTCTCGGTGAAACACTCGAATTTCTCAATGCACGTTTGGACGGTTTGCCACATATCAAGAAATAGTGGACAAATACAAGTCCAAGGTTTTCAAAACTTCACTCATGGGACAATCCGTAGCCGTCCTATACGGACCATCCGGTAATAAGTTTTTGTTCAGCAACGAGAATAAGTTGGTCACTGTTTGGTGGCCTAGTTCCGTCAGAAAAATACTGGGAACATGCATATCCACAACTGGTGGTCTACAAGACATGCACATGAGAAAGATGGTCTCTTACTTTGTATCTCCCGATGCATTTACTAAGCTCTACATCAAGAAAATATATTTGACAGCTCAACAGCAGATAGTCAATCATTGGCAAGGGAATGATGAGATTAAGGTTTTTGAAGCCATCAGATTGTACACGTTCGAGGTGGCGTGTCGGTTGTTTATGAGCATTGAAGAGCCAATGCAGATAGATAAGCTTGTTTCTCTTTTTAATGTTTTCATTAAATGGGTTATTTCGATACCTATAAATTTTCCTTGAACGAGTTTTTTCAAGGCAAAGAGAGCGACGAATTCGATCAGGAATGAACTTGAGAAGATAGTGAAACATAGGAGAGTGGCTTTGGAAGAGAAAACAGTTGTACCTTCACAGGATCTTCTGTCTCATTTGCTTTTTTACCCTGACGAAAACGGAAAGTTCATGTCTGATGAAGTGATTATAAATAATATATTGATGCTTCTCTTTGCTGGACATGATACCTCAAGTTCTGTACTAACAATGCTGATCAAGTATCTTATACACAACACCCTCAAGTCTATGACAAAGTATTCACATGTCAGTTTTTTTTTTTCCTTTCTCATTGCCTTAGAAATCGAGGATTCTTCTGAATTAAATGGTATATAGAGAGCATAGCAAAATAAGATAGTATCATCGAAAAAAGATGGGGAGTTTCTGGAGTGGGAGGATTTGCAGAAGATGAAGTACTCGTGGAACGTGGCACCTGAAGCTATGAGATTGTCGCCGCCATTAATAGGTGCATTAAGAGAAGCTGTGGTGGATTTGAATTATGGAGGCTATCACATACCGAAGGGATGGAAGGTGATATACTTATATATATATATATATATATATATATATATATATATATATATATATATATATTATTTTTAAATAAATTTTTATTTTGTTTTCTTAACATGTGAGTAATGAATATGGAAACATGTAATGCATGCATGCAGTTGTATTGGAGCTCATCTTTGACACACAGAGATGCGAGTTTGTTTAAAGACAACAAAAATTTTGATCCATCGAGATTTGAAGGGACGGGACCGATACCTTACAGTTACGTTCCGTTTGGAGGGGGGCCTCGTATGTGCTTGGGTAAAGAGTTTGCTCGATTGGAGATACTTATATTTCTTCACAATCTTGTCAAAATATTCAAGTAGGAATTGGTGATCGATAGTGAGAAAATCACAAACGATCCCATTCCTACCCCTGTCCAAGGCCTTCCGGTTCGTCTGAGACCCATCACCATGCGTAAGGATTTTTTTTTAATGTAATGAAAATACATTATGTAATAAATGTTAGAGCATGAGACTATATTTGTTGTGTTGATGGTGTTAAAATGTTACAATTTCTTTGAGACTGTTATTTGTTGTATGAATTTCATCAACTTTAGCATGCTATTATATCAAAGGGACTAATTAAGGAAATTGTTTGATTAGTATGTTATTTTTTATAATGTAATTATTAGCAATTGTAAAATTGAATTATGGGTTTGTATATTATCTCAATAATCTGCATAATTAAATTATGGAGTTGGTGATCACATAATAAAAAAAACGAGGATAGGTTTTTGTTGACTGAAAATAAGATTGGTTGTTAGGATAATCCAAAGCAATGCTATTATTATTATCTCCTCGTTTAGTATGAATGTATGATATAATGATCATATTAGCTTCCATAGTAGCATCTCTCTTAATTCTCACCATAATCATCTTATTCAATATCAAACATAAATCATATCAAAACAAAGTCTTAAATCTTTCCCCAGGCAGTTATCGGAGAAACACTCGAATTTCTCCGTACGAGAAATCAAGGATCCTCTGATAAATTTGTCTTATACGGGGAACAAATTATTGTTCAGCAACGAAAACAAGTTTGTCACAGTTTGGTGGCCTACGTACTAGTGTTAGGAATCTACTAGGAACTTGCATACTCAACCACCAATGGAGTTAAAGGCATGGATATGAGGAAGGTGGTTTCTTATTTTCTCACTCCTGATGCCTTTACTAAACTCGAATGTGCTTGAGGAAAGAGTCGCTTAGCTTGGAGATACTCACTTTTCTACATAATATTATTCCCAAGTTTAGATGGGATTTACTCATTCCTGTTGACAAAATCGTAATCGATCCCATTCATACATCGGAGAAAGGACTTGCAATACGTCTCCACCCACATAAAATCCTGTGAAATTATGATTTATTTTGATAGTATCATAAGCTACTAGCCTGTCTCAAGTGGACACATTTATATGTAACAAGAATACATATTCGAAAAAGCAGATTTCGTCTGTGGTGTACAATCAATTATTATCTCAAAACAACAGTCGCGTATCCAATGAAGCTACAGTAATAATGTGTTTATATATGTCAGTTGGAAACAAGAAGATCATCGGAAGCAGGAAAAATGCCTTCTTGGAGAGGCTCCAATGAAGCTACAATGTCTCTCATTAAAGGCCTTGCTTTCGGATTTCGATTTAAGCAGTGATAAGCAAGCATTGCTGCTTTATTAACATCCTTTATTGGATAATTCCCTTCTAGTTTTGGATCCACTATGTTTATCAATTTCTTCTTCTCTCTAAGCAAAGGCACCGCCCAATCTGTTAGATTCCGCTCACGCGCCGGCCTTGATTTATCCAGTGATTTTCGGCCAGTTACAATCTCTAGCAACACCACTCCGAAGCTATATACATCACTCCTTGGACTCAGGTGGCCTGATCGCGCAATACGAAAAAAACAACAATATAAAGATGACATTTCACAAATAATGTGTATATATGTAATTTGATTGTGTACGTCACTACACCAAAATGGACATTTTCTAACGCCACAAATTTGTAATTTCTAACAGATATATTCGTTAGTAATTACTAACGGATATTATCCGTTAGAATGAAATATATTCGTTACAATTAATAATAAATTATTTTTTCTTAAAATTGTGAAAGTTTAATAATAATTCCAACGGCAAATGTCCGTGAGTCCTATGATTATCCAAATAGTATAATATTTAATCAGTTTCTTTCATCTCTTATATTTCTCTTCTCCGTTCCTCTTTTACCTTTTATTTTCTTTTCCATTTTTTTTTATAATTTTCCCCTTCCCTAATTTCCACCAGTACAACCTTCGATGGCCTTTGTTGGCTGCCATTGTTTGCCATCTTCTCTTTCAACCGCCGCCGTCGCCGTCGCCTCTACCTCCGCCGTCGCCGCTACCGCTGCTACCGTCGCCGTTACCGCCGCTACCGTCGCCGTTACTGCCGCTACCGCCGCCGTCGCCGCTACCACTGCCTTTGTCGCCGCCGCAAAGACCTCCAATATTTCAGGTCTTCGCTTTCTTCCAATTATATTCACATTTTAGGTTTTTTGCAGAATAAACCCTAGATTTGATTTTGTTTTTAAAATTAAGCGAAGTTTGAATTTATTTAGGGTTCTTATTCATCTCTAATGTTTATTGTCACATATATTTTCGATTTCTTTCACCATTGCTCTATATATTTCGGTTCAGCAACCTAAAACATACATTGGGTACTGATACCCCTTTTTAGTTGTGATATTTTTCATGGGTGCCTCTTTGTTTTATCGTTTACAAAATTAAAATTGATTTTTTTGGTGTGTTTTGTGTTTTATGGGACTAACTGTATTACTTCAGAAAATATATAATATTTTGTCCTCTAGGTTTTTCTTAAATCTGCTATACGAGTGGAGATACAAGGCTGGTCGGCACAAGTTGTATGAATTTGCTTTCAAGTGTAAGATCTCTAATATTGGCTATGTGGGTAAATAAATATATTCATTTATTTGTATTATATTTAGGGGAGTTTGAGTTTTCTCCATCAATTATGCAGGCAGTTTGTGGCCCTTATCTCAAGGAGAAGGCTCTGGATATCCTCAGAACACATTCTCAGGTGTGGAAAGATTTGCATTGTGTTGAAGTTGTTACCTTAACTAGGTATACAAGGTGATTGGACATGAATTGAGATTTACTACTCCCCATTTTGAATTAAGTAGCCATGACAATATTTATTTCTTTCCATATTCTGTCAATTAGTTTCTTTGAATAACCCTTGTGATTTTGATTTGAACATTTACATTATATTCAATAATAATTTAGTTAGAAGTTTTATATTTGAAAGACTGGTCACTATCGATAGGCCTGATGTTGTTGGTAGAGTAAAGATTCTTTACTCTTCAAGGTAGTTATCTCTTATGGAAAATGTTATATTCTTCGGGTTAATCATCTATAAGTGTATATACTTCAGTTTGAAAATCTATGGAAGTAGAATGTTGTTCAGATTTTTTCTAACTTCGAGTTAATTATATTGCATTTAGGTGTCTTCATCTACATTTCAAATATTGATTCAAACTTGTTCTATTTTCAGAGGTTTTGGTTACCCACATTAAGGTAGAGATGATCTTTAATTACTTTTGCTTGTAATGGAGTAGATGACAGAGGAGAAGTTGGCCGTCTTATTCCTCGGCTGTGGACAGGTGATTGCTTGCTCTTTGTATAGAAGGGCATGATCTTATGTCATCCTGATCTATCGTATCTTAGCTAGTGTGTTCTCATTTTTTTTTATTTATTTACTTATGGAAAGGTTGTAGATTGCCGTGTACGCGGAGACGCAAATTTCGTTCTTCGTTTTGCTTTTGTGGAGTTCACTGACCAAGGTAATTTTAACAAATGATTTATCTTTTTGGTTTTATGTTCATTTTTTATTTTTTATTTTATTTTTTGGTATGAAATAAATCTTTATGGTTTCATAGAAGTTGCACGAACTTGGGTAGATCTTCACATCAGATCCCAGTAGTAAGTATTCTAGAAGATCTTGTACTAAAGCTTTCTTCTCTAAGGATTTGTTCTAAGGATTTATATTAATCAACACTTTGCAGCTTTGAGGAACATTGCATGCTGAAAGGAGTTCACGAAAATTTTGTTGGTATGTACTTTTTATGGTACTTTATCAGATGTACCCCATTGATGAAAGCATGTTGCATATCATACTGCACGATATACTATGAAGCTTTATATTACCTTATTTCCTTTTGTATGTAGGTATTGATTATGTGATTTTCGGCTTGTGTGTCTTTTCATTCTTGGGTACTTGGTCCGACTTCATAACATTCAAGTAATATCTGATTCATCACTGGATGATATTATCTACTATGACTTTCCAATTATATATTGATTATAATGCTATTTTAATCAGGGTATAACGTGGAAGAGACAAAGTCTTTTAAGGATGAAATTTACCATGGTGAAGAAATTGAGGAAATAAGAGCTCTAGGATTTGGGATCAGCTGAGCGAGAGATGAGTGTTGCAAGTACTCTCGAAAAGATGGCTTTCCAACTGACTTAAGAGTTTTTGGAAGAATAATGCAGAAGGGACACTTGAAATTAATTTTCATGAAGTCGGTTATTGTATTCATGTTTTTGCTTTTGGTGTTTGGGGAATACATTTAATGTATTTTACTAATAGATGTTATGTATCAAATACGTAAGATTTCAATAACATTTGTTAAATTCAGTTATTTATAATATTAATAATATTACCATTTTCTTGAAAATGGTAATATTTTTTTTTTAATAATTTGCCAAAAGAATACTAACAGTTATATCCGTTAGGAATTTTGCTAGGACGTTACAATTAACAACCGTTACAGTCACGTTTCTAACGGATACAACTGTTAGAACTATTTATTTTTCTAACGGATTTGGATAATTTTGCCAACGGTTTATGTCCGTTAGAAATTTTAGACCTTAAATTTCTAACGCCATTTTTCTAACGGAATTTCGCCATTACATTAAATGTTTCTAACGGATATATCTGTTAGGAAATAGCTTTTTTGGTGTAGTGGTGTAGAATATTCACCTGTCATTATGTATTCTGGTGCAGCGTAACCGTATGTTCCCATAATGCGAGTAGAAACATGGGACTTGTCTCCTACTGGACCGTCTTTAGCTAGCCCAAAATCCGAGAGCTTTGCGTTGTACTCCTGTTAAATAGAGAGAGTCTAATGCTAAAAAAATATGCTATAATTAACTGGCCTAAATTCGTATATAGTGGCTAACCTGGTCCAGTAAAATGTTGGATGTCTTAAAATCACGATAGATGACAGGTTTGTGTGCTTCGTGCAGGAAAGCAAGTCCTTTTGCAACACCGTACACTATCTTCATTCTAGTAGACCAAGGAAGAGGAAGCAACACTCCTGCATGCATGCAAGTATATGCAATCTAACTTTCATGAAACATATAACTACAGAAGCTAGCAATTCAATCCATCAATCAATCAATCCAAGAAAACAATACTTACTCGAGAATAGGTTGTTTTCAACACTACCCTTTGACATGTACTCATATATTAGAACTCGATGTTCGTCCTCACAACAATATCCGATTAATTTCACTAGATTTGGATGAGAAAGCTGACCCAAAAAGATCACCTCAGCCTAAAATACCAAGGATTGGATTGGATTGAAGCTAACAATTATGTACCAATTATATTAGGGAAAAAAAAAGTGATGAATCGATATATAAATACTTACGAGCCATTCCCTGTGACCTTGATGGCTATTATTACCATCATGAACCTTAACAGCAACAGTGATTCGCTGTTCGAAATCTTGAGAAATGTGGCCTTTGTAGACATTTCCAAAACCTCCTCCTCCTAACATGTAATCATGTCTGAAATTTTCAGTGATGTTCCTTAACTCGTCGAATGTGAACACAATTAACGGATTGTTTGTTGAAGAACGACGCAGGTCTTCCACTTCTTCGGGGTTTGATGGCAATTTGGTGGGGGCATTGATTGCTTTCTGTGATGGACTAATTTGATCATTTGCTGGAGATTCTGCACGACATAAATGAAAATCAGACATCTGTAAACTAAACAAATCGAATAAGTATAAACATATTCGAAACCGAATTATAAAGATTAAAGAAAAATGACCGTACCTAATTTTGCATTATTGGATGAAACTTTGTATATTGAAGTTTCCCAAGCACAACAGCAATTTCCCATGAGACGACGACGCTGCTAATAAACAAGCAAACTACTAAAAATATATATATATATATATAGCTGAAACAAGAACAGCCCAACACCACCACCCCCATTCACAGCCAAGAAAGTAGTACGTACTAATAAATAGGAAACAAATTAAAAACAAACAAACAACACCCGAAAGCACTCAATGTGTGTGTGTGTGTGTGAATTGATATATATAGTAGTGGTTTCTTAATTGATGGAAATGATGGATGGCTTCTGTTCATTCTTGATTATTTTGGCTCTTGTCTCCTTTGTGCGCTTTCTTTTTCACATTTCTTCACTAGTGCATTTTCATCCCCACCACCAATTTCTTATTGCTAGCCATCATCATCATCATCATCATCATCATCATCATCATCATCATCATCATATATTTTTCTTCCCCTTCTTTAATTTTCTTGGTTCTAAATTGTAATACTAATAATAATTCACTCTATCTAATTACTAATTCAAACTGATTCAACAAAGCTGTGGTGAAGTCTATGAACTTATCCGGCTATCCCAATAAGGACAGCTGTAGATTGGGATATATGTTATAGCGGACTGCTAAGTTGTAACGAGTAAATTGCAAATACCATCCCTGTGTAATCCTTAATTGCTAAAAAAGTCCTTGTGTTATAAAAATTAGCAAAAACCCCCCTATGATTAAAAGTCAAAGGCGAAAAAGTCCATTAAAGCTACTCGTGGTAATCACGCGCGGGTTGTGCGGTTCTTTTTGAAAATTTGGGGGTAAAATGACATAAACACCCTTTTATTCATATAAATAAAATATGTATGTATGTTAAATTTGATGTAATTAGAAATAAATCAAATTCAAAGGACCAAATAGCAATTTTTAAAATCTTAAATCCTAATCATCTTCGTTCTCCCTATCACCCTCTCAAGTCTCAACGGCCCGACTTGGGAAAAAAAAAAATCCAGCACCTAATTCTCTTCTTCCCCAAAATTTCTGGAACTCAAAACAGCAAAGGCTGCCACGGCCACTACCGCCGCCGGAGCCGCCCCTAATTCTCTCAAATCCTATAGCTTTGTCGAAGCCGGCAGCCTCACGAAACAGTGGAGGAGAAGAGGTATCTGATGCCTCCAGATCCAACCCTCCCCATTGTTTTTCTGTTTTTTACCGTCTTCTCCGTCATGGTTCTAGAGTTTGCAAAAGAAGAAAAGGCTGTGGAACTGGTCAACGGCGCCGCCGCAGAGGAGGCAGGGGTCTGTGCAATGAATTTTGTGCGTAGTGTGTGTTTCAATTTAGGTTTAATAGTATTTTGAAAAAATTTACAATTCAGTCACCTAATTAAGTTTCAGAAATTTAGTAAAATTACAATTTGGCCTCTATTATATATTAATTCTAATTTTATGTTATTAATTAAAGGGTATATTTGTCTTTTCATCTCTGGTCAATGACTAAAATTTTAATAGGTGCGGTGAGCTAATAAAAAAATTATATAGGGGGGTTTTCGCTAATTTTTATAACACAAGGACTTTTTTAGCAATTGAGGATTACACAGGGGTGGTTTTTGCAATTTACTCAAGTTGTAACTTGTAAGTAATATGTTTTAAATTAATTAATTAATTGCATCTACTGTATTTATCTTCTCCCAATTTGATCTTCTATTTCATAATCCTCTAATATACAACGAGAAATATATTCATTTAAACATAGATTTATGGATAAATTTAATATAGATTATAAATTGAGAGATCTATGTAATTGGACCCTATACATATATATATATATGTACTTCTATTGGGTCCAATTACATAGGTCTCTCAATTTATGTACATACACCAATGGGTCCAATTGAGAGATATTATGACCCAAACAAAAAAAGCTAATTAAGCCCATTGGGTTTGGGTGAAGAAATAAGCTTGTATTATTTGTGATTTTGTTCATCTCATCTCCCCCACACTATCAGAGTCCTAATCTTCAAGTCAAAGATCAATGGAAGAATACCCGGAGGAGCTGCGAACGCCACCGGTGGCATTAGCGTGTTTGGTGGGGTGTCCCGATGTGCACTCCCTCATCACGGCGCACCTCCACTCCCAGCAGCCCCCTATTAATGCCATCGCATTGCCCGATTTCTCTATGATCTCCGTCATCCCCCCTAAGAAACCCCCTCGAGATATTTCCGACCCCATCCGCGGCATTCTCAGGTCAGATTGGCTTTCCAAGCACCGTACTAGGATTCCTTCCGTCGTTGCCGCTCTTTTTACCTCTAATCATGTTTCCGGCGACCCCGCCCAATGGCTCCAGGTCTGCACCGATCTCGAAAATCTCAAGTACGCTCCTCCCTCTTTCTCTCTTCTATTATTCCAATTTCTTTATAATTGCCATACACCCTTGTAATTTATTGAATTAATTGTCAGGGCCACAATTCGTGGGAGGAACATCAAATTGGTGGTGGTGGTTGTCTCTCAGTCTGGTCATAAAGGTCTGTGAGTTTCTGCATTCAAATCTGTGTGTATTGATATCTATACTTCAACCTGGTCAGAACACTTATTTGCTGAATTGTATGTTTGTATTTGTGATTTTGTTTGACTTCATCTGCTGAGCTCAATCTCTTTCACCATATCTTTGTAGTTATGGCGGATCTCTTGTCTTGCTGAATAGATTGTTAAATGCTTAGAAATTCAGTCTACTTCAAATTTATGGTTTTAGATAGTTATATTTATATTCAGATTGTTTTGTGCATTATAGAAGGATACTGACTCTTGTTGTCAAGTATGAATCTCAAGTCTAGACTAATTTCTTAGGATGTATTTCGATTTTTAAACTATATTTCTTGTATCAGTTAGGTTATAATCCTTCAATATGGTATTACCCTGCAAATCCTTCAAATAATAAGCAGAAACTAATTGAAAAGGAAAGGTTTGGAGATATGCAGTAAGGATGGCATAAGTCTTTTTGTATTTGTAACATGCATATGCCTAAAACAGATATGTCGGTTCCATACCTTTTTGACATTATTTTCCAATTTTTTTTTGCCTTAATAAATTCATTTATATAGTAGCTACAATCTCATTATTGGATTTCTTCTAAAAATGTTTGTTAAAGATAGGGCTTTAGAAGCTTGCTTCTCTTTTCACTGTATCGTCCTACTATCTAAGAGCTCGAAAAACTGAACACATATATGATTGTAAAATGCTTCTGCTTCCTCCCTTTTGCTTGTTGTTGTATTTCTATTCAAATAAGCAATGAAAATCCTTGCACTGTGTACATCATATAAAGAATTCTGTGGCAGATGTCACGAGTGAAGATCGCATGATTGCGCTGAGGAAACGTGCAGAAGTAGATTCGAAAAACCTTATCGTTTTTGTACCGGATGACCAATTGGAACTTATACAATCTCTAAGCAGGCATGGCCTATATGACCTTTTCATCATCTTTATTGGGTTTTCCTCTTTATTTGATTTTTTTTAGAAAATAAAATTGCCAGAAATAGGTTTGTAAGTCAATTTTGCTTAAATATTGAGGAGATTGGCACTGGTATAAAATACTGTTCCCACATTTTTAGTGCTTTGTCATAAAGCCTTTTTGACTATATCACTGCAGGCTCTGGACTGCATTCACAGATCTGGCAAATATATATTACCGAGATGAGGGACGAAGAATAAAAGTGCGCCTTGAAAAGAAAAGTTCCAGCTCGATGGAGTTAAATATCCGTTACTGTTTCAAAGTAAGGTCTTTGCATATTGCGATGCTCTCTTTCTGTTATGTTCAAAGTATCACATCATGAGATTCAAACTCCTGCTTGTTATCCAATACGACCATGTATTATCACTAATTTGGTAGCTGTGAAACATCAATACTGCCATCAGAAGCTTGGAAATATCCACTATTATTTTCTTGAGCACATCTGTTTTTCAGTATTGATTCGATTACTGGTGCTTTTAATCTTCCTAAATAAAGCGGAAGATGATATAATTCAGATGTTGTCCTTGTCCTTACTGGTCTGTTTACTCCACCATTTTCTGCTCCTCTCTTATGCTATCTAAACCTTATCAACTGCTAGGCTGCTGTGTATGCAGAATTTCGAAGAGACTGGCTTGAAGCTCTTAAGCTATATGAGGATGCGTATCATGCTCTGCGGGAGGTACTTCTTCTCTCGCAGCCGCAGATTCAACTTTAATTTTTTTCTCTCTAGTGTTTCAAACTCCACTAATGACCTTGCTTTGCTGTATGCTTGAGTTCACGAGTCTACATGCTGTACATGCTTCATTTAATAAACATGCATAATATGCCTAAAACAACGAGAAGAATATTTGAAATATTTTGGAAATCACTGAAATTTCAGTATACATCAAAAAAGTTATCTCCTCAGGTCCTTTTGGGCAAATATAATCTAAAAACGGTTTAGGGAAAATAATGTTGCATGAATTTCAGCCATCAATCAAAATTGAAGTAATTGTTCCATGAGAAAGAACTCAAACTCAAAATTCAGGAACTTCTTGTTTTTGTGCACTTTTTGCATATTATTGAAGGAATTTCATTTTGATAATAAACTTTATTGTCATTCTAGCATGCATTTGTAAAATAATTTTGCAATCAGACTTTAATACGAATTTCAGGAATTTATCAAAACTTGGTGTTTTCTGCGCATTGTATGAATTCCACTTTTACATATAAACTCATTAGTGACTGATATTTGCCTACGTTTGGCAAACTAAGGATAACTATTGTATGCTATAGAAAGCAACACAACCTCAAGTTTATAAAGTTATTTCATCTGTGTTTGTGATGTTTGCTTAGCCCGACTTGGTTTAATCTCGTGTACTCACAAGACTCTGCTTCTATTTGCAAAGTTAGCTTCACCAGATATATTGCCCTTTCCTTTTCTATTTGGGGGTCTGAAGACTTGACCCCAGTCAGTTGCTCTCATGATTTTATTTTAAATGGGAGTTGAGTTTTGTTACTCCGAATATTCTGTCTGCTATCCCCTATCAGTTAGTTCAAGTCCACGACGGCAGATCTGCATCATTTTTTTATAATTTTTTTCATGTTCTGATTTGCATGTTTAACATGATAGATGGTTGGAACATCAACAAGAATGCCGCCAATCCAACGCTTAGTTGAGATCAAAACTATTGCTGAGCAATTGCATTTTAAGATGTCAACGTTGTTGCTGCATGGTGGAAAAGTTGTAGAAGCAATTGTGTGGTTCCGCCAGCACACTGCTAATTATAGAAAACTTGAGGGAGCTCCTGATGTTATTTTTCTTCACTGGGAATGGTTAAGCAGGCAACACTTAGTATTTGCTCAACTGTTGGAGACAAGCTCAAGCGATGTTCTGCAGGTTCCAAGTATGGTCTCAGTTCCTGCAGAGAAACCAACTGAATGGGAATTTCATCCAGCTTACTACTATCAGGTATTGACAACTCCATTTAAAAATTTCCCACTTTCAAGTTTAATCGATAATGAGTTCTTACTTTAAGAATTCAAACGTACAATCTCATTTTGATTAGAGACCTAGAACAGCATTTGAGTTTCACATATCTTGCAACAGCTAGCAGCTAGCTATCTGAAGGAAAAGAATTTATCTTTGGAGTTTGCAATATCTATGTCAGAATATGTTGGTCCAATTGATGTGAGTGCAGAGTCTGTGGTTGCTTCTGTCTATTTTGGTCAGTTTGCCAGGTTACTTGAGCTAGAGGATACTTACATAATGCAATCGTGAGTTTACCAGGCCCAACTATCTATCTTTCTCTTTCATATCACCACACATGTCTGTAGATTGCCCTATAGGATGCAATATTATATGCCTTAAAGAGCTGAATGTTTTCTCTGCGTAAATTTGGATGCAGCCTGACAGATGATGAATATGTTTGTTATACACTTGCTGAAGGGAAGAGGCTCCAGGACTCCTCTGAAATTATTGCTCTGCTAAAGAGATCTTTTGAAGCCTACAATAACTTGAAAGCTGAGAGGAGAGCCGCGTATTGTGGATTTCAAATGGCTAGAGAATATTTTTTGTCAAATGAATTTAGTAATG